GAATAAATCTGTTAATTCCTTCCCTTTATGAAGAAATAAGTAACGGGGAGACATAAGTTAGTCTGTATCTGGGTCTGCTTGCCAAATCCTGGGGACTAGGCATAAAAGCAGACCCTCTTTAGTTGAAAATAGACATCCTGGAGAAAACAGTTGAGTATTGGCAGAAAAGGTATCCTCTTATCATGTAGGCACAAGCAAAGTGATCGATTAGAGGCAGTCCATGGGACAGTGACGAGGCTGACACAAGGTCTAGAAACCCAGTTTTGAACAAGCCTGAGCTGTTTGGCTTAGGCAAGAAAAGAAGGAGGGAAAGAAGGGATGGAGGAAATAAGGTTTCATATACCTAAAGGTGCATAAAAAGGAAAAGATTGCTCTATTTTCCATCTTTGCAGTGGATAGGGCAAGAAGTCATGACATTAAGTAGCAATGAAGAAAACTCCAATTAAATACTGGGAAATCTTCTTTGTAAAGAACAACACGTTGGGGAAGAAACACCTCTAGGTAGCAGTTGCTGAAACACTGAACTTGATGGTCTGAAGAGTCAGTGGAGCATYGGTCATGGGAAGATTCAGGCTGACCAGAAGTAGCTTTCAGAAGCAGTACGATGCAGATAGAATTAATTCCTCTGTATATGGGAATTTCTAAGTGTTTTCCTGTGGTCCTCATATGCAGGACTGTCAAGAAAAGGTAAGTCTGGACAGGGCTGATTTTGATATAAGAGAAGCAAGAGATGACAAATTGCCTTCTGTGGCTTAAATTTGCAGGCACTTAAAAAGCCTGAAGTGACTACAAATGATATAAGCTCGCATGCCTCCTGCAAAAAGCAGATGGTGGCTAGAAATATTTTATGCACCTTGATTTTTAAATTTTACAGTGGTTATTTTTATGACTTGGCTTTCTTGATGGTCCAGCCTTTCCAGGACACTAGTTTGCTTGAGTTGGAAGTGAGACTGAAAGAGAGGGGTGCAAATGATGTGGCTTTTATAGCTATTGTAGATGCTTCCCTTTAAAGAAGTAACTGTAAAGACAGATCCCTCTCTCTGTGTGAAAATGGAGAAATGGAAGCAGCCACTTTAGAGGTGCTCAATGGGAACTCTTTGGTCCCTGCTTGTGCCTTGGGAATTGGGGTGTTTTAAAGACACCATCCTTGTGCTGCCTCAGGAGAGGGCAGGAAACAGCCAGTAGCTAAAAAGCACAGCAATTGTGCTAGGTGTATGCTGAGAAACAGATTTTCCAAGGAAATCTTTTCCAGGTCAGGACAACGTTGCGTGGTGTCCCCTTCCCACGCTCTTTCCTGCAGGAGTCTTATCAAAGATGCCRGCTGATGCCAATGTCTCTTTTGTCTGGAGGATACAACTGGTTTATAGACAAGAGCAAGACCTGCATTTGCACCTAGAMTCCTGGATCAGGGCTTCCTTGGTTCCACAGCAGTCAGGTAACTCACTATATTAAAACGGAGGGGAAGAGAGGAGCTCCCCTGGGAGCCTGATGCTCCTGAGTCTGTCGCCAGACACGGGGATACTCTGCTCGTGCCGGGAACAGATGGGCCAGCAGAGCCTGGCCTGGTGGAAACACACAGCCGTGGAGAGCAGCATCCTCCCCAGTCAATGTGGGACATGCAACGCAGCTCAGCTGCGTTCAAGACCATCCTCACCAGTCAATGTGGGACATGCAACGCAGCCCAGCTGCGTTCAAGACCACCTTTGAAAGCTACTAAACCAACGCCACCCCAAATTGGGCTGACATGGTATCTGAGAGAGACGGACAGAGCTTTGAACAAGGCTGGGTTTACTGTGGATATTGAGAAGCAGAACTGCTTAGCAAGAAATCCTTGCCACGTTCTCTTGGGAGTAGAAGGTCCCTTGGTTTTCATGGGAAGGGGTTTGTCTCTGGTGAAGCAGGAATCTTGAAAAAAGAATGTGTTTCTGAGCTGTTTCCCAGTCCTGGAAATAGCAGTCAGCATGAAGAGGTTAAAGCATAGGACGTTCTTTTGGGGACAACCAGATAGCAGAGTTGTTTCCTTTCTTAACCGTCACGTTGCCTGCCCTCCTGCAGAGCACATTGCATTGCGTTGCTGAGGAGGCTTTGCTCTCGACCGTATCATGCAGTTTGCAAAGACGGGAGGCAAAAAGAGGCCTAATAGTCATTTAAAACCACCTGAAATGAGGTTGCCATGTGAAAGCAAAACAGAATAATCCCTATTTCTGAGGCTTTACAGGGGGTTCAGCTTCTAAATGTCTAGACWTTATGTCCTCCAGTAGAGCAGTGCATCTCTGTGCAGGAATTTAAGCCTGCTGATGTTAGACTGGCTTTTCTTACTTTTTACCAGCCCATTGACCCAGATGGTTCAGGGCATTACGAATTTAAAACCACAGGTATATTAGGATGATTAACTATMTGTGTCAAGACTAATGTTTTAAAAGCATATTCTTCTATTTTCTTGAACAGCCACTGCGTTTAGTTTTGAGCCCCCTAGTCGATCCTGAGGAAACTGGTATTTGGAAGGACTGGCAGAAGTGACGTTGGCTTTTAGGATGTGTGCCAATAGCTCTGTGTACAGCGGAAATTCCCGATAGAGAATGACCTGATCAACCTWCCAAATGCACAACACATATTCCTGGGATTTTAATATCTGAAAAGAATTAAGAAAAAAAGTCTCTGATAATCCTTGCTGCTACAGTTTGTGATAAGCAATTGAACTGTTTCCACGTGCTGCTCTAAGGAAGCCCCAGCTCCCTTACCAGGCTCTCCAATATCTCCTGTTACTTGAAGCTGCAGCTTCAGGCAACTCAAGGAGCTAGCGAATGTCACAGTGGCTCACATTGCCACATAGGCAATCTTCAGCTCTGTATTATCAGGGAAGGCTTCACACAATACTCAGATTTCTGCCTTCCACCAGGCTGAATTTCCATTTTTCCTTTAATTTCAGGAAATACAAAGACTCCTCCAAGACTGTTATGGGCAAGTCTGTCTTCTTAACTGAGGGTGTTTCAGAGATCAAGAAAGCCTTAGACATCCCTAGATGAGTGTGTGCAAGGTATTAGACCCACCATGGCCTTGAGAGCTTTGTAATAAAGTGAGAGGAACAGTAAGTGAGGAGCCTTAGGGCTCAAAGAAAGGGAGATAAACAGCGGGGCTGCTTGTTATCGCCTGCTTTTGGAGGCTMTAATGTGGTGCCCGTTGTTGCAGGACATTTACTGAAGCTGCTGGACTACCAAACACTTAATCAGCAGTCTAGTATTTGTTTCTTATTATATGTTCAACTTTTCCTGGCCTGTAAAGCATGGTCACCTGTTGTGTCAAGGTCCCAGCACTCACCACTGGACTCTTTCCCAGCRTGTTGGACTGGTTAAGAATAAACCTCTCTTCATTCGCCAGGGAGGGTGAGGAGGGACTCTTGGGTCTCGGGGACATGTGCGCCTTTGTAATTCACAGATTGCGGATTCATGGCTGTGTTTTTCCTGGGAACTGCTGCTCTCTTTGCATGTCCTTGGTCTTCCACATGGGCTGGCAGTGGGACCAGCAGCGTGGCGCGTGGGTGAGGACAGAGGGTGCAAGTTGTCCCTGGCCAAGGGTGCGTTGCCTGCTGCACACAGGCCTGGCTGCTGCGATTCCATCCCGCTGTGATGCCTTGGGAAGCTGGGAATTACATCCGGAGAGTCGCGCAGTGCAAACAAGCCATGATCCGCCGGGATGCGATTCCCACTCTGTGGGAGAGGCTCTGTGGAAATGCTGAGCTCCAGGACCAGGGAGCGCCCAACACCCGGTGCTTAGCAAGGCAAAATCTTCATGCGTCCCTCAACACTCCTACAATTTATTTGCTTTTCTTTATTCCTTTTCTTTTTAAACTCCTGCTAGGAATTCAGGTTTGGATGCTGCAGCCGTAGTAGAAGCTCCTTGTTTATAGGAGGGGGTCATGGGGAGCCTTCCCACATCGTCACGTGTCTGTGTTAATTATTTTAATAAATCTCACAGTGCTGTTTCTTCTATTTTTTCTTCTTTTTTTTTTTTTCCCAAGGAAACAATTGTCAGCAAAGTGTATCATCAGCAGAACGTAACCTGAAAGAAGCAATTTAGTGAGCAGTAGGGTTTTGGCAAGAGGCTTTTGACTGAGACCATATGTTGGCTGAAGCAAGCAGAGATACTTTGGACTTGGTGCTGGGGGATGTGACGCACRGGAGATGAAGAAAAGTTGTCATTGACAAAGCTGTAGCACAGGGCGGTTAACAAATGTGATTTTTCCTCTGCTTAAGAATCACAGCATAGTTTTGCTGTTTTTCATCTTTGTTAGAAGTTCTGGCTCACCTTTATCCAGGGTGATTTTTCTTTTTAAATACAGTTTTCTCCCTCTGTCTGAACTCGGTGCCAGAAATCCACTTGGCTGCTTCTCCCTTTATACAGTTARGTTTAGAAATTCCGAAATACAGGGGGCTGCTTTCCTGCTCTTACCAGGTTGAGGGAATGGGGACTGGAGAGCAGCTAAGGAAAATGGAGAGGAAGCACATAGCTAAAAGTAAACCTGTAGGTTAAATATAGACACCGGCTGCAGCAGTGCTGGTCAGGTTGTTGTGAGAGCTTCCTTAAATATGTTCTCAGCTAGTTGAGGTTTCTAGTCCTCGGCCTATTTAATGAGTCAAGCAAGAAGTACCGAGAGCTGGAGAGYTCTCCGTAGCTGCTAAGGTAGCAGAGCTGGTTTGTTTTTATTTTTATTGGGTTGAGACACCACGGTTGGGTTCTTGGCAGTTGATTTGGCTTTCTGGGTTAACCTCTGATAAAGAGGARTTTCACTAATTAAGCGAAAAAAATCAGTACTTTGGGGAATGCGTTACTGAAGATTAACTACAGCTTCTCCGTGGTGAGAAGGTGGGACAAATGGAGTGATTGGGCAGGCTGCAGACACTGCATGTTGTTCTGTTTTTCCTTTAGTATTTACGAACCCAGGGTCACGTTGTCTTTCACAAGTGCAGCTGTAAATTTTGATTTAATGTGTTTTCTTCCAGCCCTGAATCYCAACCCAACTGATGCAACCCCTGGCACTTTAAAGATGCGTGCAAGCAAGGAAGAAGAACTGGAAAATGACCCATTAAGGAAATGTTCCATTTTGCAGGTATGGAGCAGCCCATGCTTTTAGCTTCAGTGCAAGGCGTATTTCTGTGTTAACATGGTTTGAAGAGGGAAATCTGACCTATTTCAGTGTAAGTTCTTATTTGTAAGTTGGTAGAATCATGTAGGACTATATTAATTTGGAGAAGGTACCTGTAAGTATAAAATGCATGAGAATAACATGCTTAAGAACTGGAAGTAAATCACTGATTTCAGTGATTGGTCATGATTAGTGATTGCAGGTTGCTGAGGGGGGGGAAGAGTGGTGAAGGATGGGGAAGGAAAAGGAGGGAAATTCCTTCTTGAAGGCTTCAGAGGGATTTAAGGGATTCTGCTATGAAGACTCTTCCAGCTGGAGGTGAAATAAATGGTCATTTAATGCTTTGCTCTGTTAAGGCAAACCACACTCTTCTCCATGGTTGGTATACAGCTTGGGTTATGCTCTCAGTGGGTATCTGAGAAAATGGACTTGGTTTTTTGCTTTGGCACGTGGCACAGGGCAGAGTTCAGGTGTYCTGAACGTTTGTACTCTTCACCTGACTCATATTAATGTGGTGCCATCAGCATTTTATTTTTCCCAACTGTAAGAATCCATAAGCTTAATATACATATATCTCCTGGAGAGGGTTTCCTGAAGGTGATGTGTTTCCTCCTTGGCTTTTGCAAAGCTGTAGATAGAAGATGCATGTTTGGAAATAACACTCCATTATTTCATTATGCCATTCTGGAGCTTTGAAGAAGAAACTGGGTCTCCTGCCAGAGCAAAGCCATTTAATCTGCAAGCAGAAACTCTATGGTTTTAAGCCATTATGAGTGGCCATTAGCTGGTGGGGAATTCGTTCACCCAGCTCGTGATTGCAAAATAAATGACAATGTCCCCGTGAAAATGGTGTTTTTCAAAGCCTAGAAGAATTTCTACCCCTCTTGTCCCATGCATGGAGACTTCTTGCTGTCAGACTTTAATAAATAGTCAGTGACCCTGTTGGGGCTGCAACAGCTGGACTGATACTGCACATTGGAACCAGGTTCCTGACACATCCCCACTTCTGCAGACTACATCTAGTCTGTGAAACTCATGGAAACAAATGGACACTGCTATGGCAATAATATATTTGGATCTGTGTGCACCCCTTAGTCTCCTGGGATTTTTTTCTCTTGGAAGTTGCCTAGCTTTTTGATTCATTGCATGCCAAATGACTCCTCAAATATATCAGTGACCCTGCAAGTACAGTGAATGCTGGTGCTCTCGTACAGCTTGGAGTTATCCTCCCATTATAAATAGAGAATTCGGAGAGAGGAGTGGGGTAAAGCTCTTTTGTAGCTTAGCTCTGCCACTCTGCCTTGTCTTGGTAAATTGAATGGGGAATTTTGGGGGAGAAAACAGGGAGAATTAAGTTTTATACCCCTTAGTGTTTGTCASTGAAAAATAGTCACAATGAGTTTGAATGATTTGTGTGGAAGGTCACTGGGTGAGTGGAATGGATTCCTTTGTGTTGCATCTGCAGAAAATAATGCAGTTTATTACTCAGGGGTTTGCACACAGAGGCAGATCAGAGCATTATAGCAACATGTGTCATCCTCTCTGCATGCTCACAGGCCGGCTCTGGCGCATGGAGGGCTTCCAATATCTGGAATTCCAATTTGGTTCTTAAGAGCTTTAAGAACCAAACGCCCAGAGTCTCGGCTCTTAGAGCCTGGCGAAACTTTCTCAACTCTTTCTATTCTCCCACCCTTCTCGATGCCCTCTCCCTCCTAATCTGTTTGTTTTTTAAAATGATTGTGCTATTGTGTGCCTCAATATGCACATAGTCTGTCTTGTTTTTCTCTTGGACGAAAAGTGCGAAGAAAATCTGTTTATGGTTTTGTTGAGCTAATTCTTCCCCACCCTAAATTTTTAAATAGACTCCTTCTTTACCAAGCTTGCAAAGCTTGCAGGATAGATTGAAGTAATGGGAAAAATATGTTGTGTGCTAACCTTCCTTTTTTGTAAAACTTTGTTTACAACACACTATTCCTAGCAGTACATTTGGGAAGTGCAGGGCTGGATGATGAAGCAAGTAGACGACTTTGAAATAAGAAAATGATTTTCTTGCATTCAGGGAGGAAATGTCTGAGTCTTCAGCTTTCAGCACTTGAACTGTGGCGCAAGATCTACTGAGCTTTGCTTAAATGTCCCTCCAGTTGCTGAACTGCCCTTCCGCCTCCGCTGATCTCCGTTTTCACGCTTTGCTGCTCGCTTGGGCGGTCGTTGCTGCTGGTTGGAGCTGCCCCTTGGGAARGCAGGAGGTCCCGGAGGGCTGTGTGAGCAGCCTGGCTCTGCCTGGGCAGCAGCAGTGAAAAACACCCTTGGCTGCTTGATATTCCAATGGATGAAGGGTTTGACATTTCACTGGTGTGCAGGGACCGCTTATTTTACCCCTTGATTTCATCCTTCCCAAGAGTCAATCCTAGGTCTTAGGTCCAGCTGAACAACCCTTTCTCCACACTCATGGGCCTTAGCACCATGGTCCAGCCCTGGGCACAGGGKTTTTTTTGAAGGTTAAGCTCAGCACAGCAAACTGCCAACATGGCCTGAAGGACTGATGCAGGAGCACCCCTATGGCTGGCAYAGGTCTTGCCTATGCTAGGAGTCTGTCTGTCCCGCCGTTGTACCCAGCTCAAACTGTGTTGCTTGCTCCTGGCCACAGGAGGTGGGAATTACAGGAGCAAACACAGTTCGCCTGTCAGTACACAGCAAACAGAGCTTTGTAGGGCACCTGTTGGTTTGGCTGAAGCCTCCAGGTACTCCCGTAACATAAATAAGTAGGAGTAGGGTTTCAAAGCAAGTACATTTTTGACATGGGTGATGTCACGCCTCTTCAGTGCGGCAGTTTAGGGCCCAAGCATCATCAGCTGCTAGTTCAGTCTTGTTGCTAGCAAAATATCCGAGGCATTTGTGCAGAACTGTGTTGGATTAATTCGGGTGAATGGCTGAGGTGCTCATCCTTACCAGGCAGTGCAGCAGCGAGGGAAACAGGACCCAGGACATGGAAAGTTTGCTGCGTTTCCACCGGGAATAAACTGGATGCTCTGACTGAAACGTCTGGTTCCAGCTGCAGCACCGAACGTGGTGGGTTTATGGTCAGGTGCTGAGGATAATAAGGTCTTCTGGTGAGTAATAGTAATAGACAAAAGGGATGGGCTAGAGCTGTCATGCTTGTGTGGCTGTTAYCTAGCTGTCATCTAGTTGTGGCTGTTATGTATCTGCTGTAGCTACCCCTGCTCTTCCAGTAAAGTTGAGATAGGAAGAAGATGGACTTGATCTTCCCAGCCCTTTACCCTGAGAGGGATTTGTTCATGTGCAAATCTGCAGCAGAACATGAAGTAACGACTGCCCCACATGCAGGGTGCTAAGCGGAGGCTTCGCAAGTGGAATTGCTCTTTATCCCTTCAGCTTGGTTGGGCTCGTTGCTGCCCTGCAACGCGCTCTCTGTGGAGCCAACCCTTTTTGGAGCTCATTAGGAAGGCAATGGTCGGGGTCAGTGCTGACTAAAGCTCCTTTCTGCCACGGTGGCTGCAGCCGAGTGTCGGGCTCTTCTCAGAAATGAGCACCAAGTTATGGACCTCCCTATTTTCCATTTTAGCTGCTCATTCAGGATGTGTAACTGTAACCTCTTCCCAGCTAGCAACTYCGGCATTGCTTTCCTCGTGGATATACAGCCCTTTTGCTCATCCCTCCCTTCCCACTCCACCAGGAACAAATCCATTCTTACGGACGTGTCTGCTTGTGATATATATACAGTATCACTTTGCCAAATAAAACAGCTTGTGAAAAAAAGAAAGATCAAGACCACTGGCTGCTTAATGCAAAAGCTCCTTAGCTAGACCCAGACTAACTGYTTTGACTTTTTTTCCCCCTATGTAGCCTGCATTGTATTGCACTAGAAGAGAATTCCATCCTGTGTGGCCCTTTCCAAACCTATTGCCTAACACTTTTACTATTTGTCATCAGCTGAAAATTATCTGGGCGCTGCAGATATCCACAGGCGTGGTTTGATTGTCTGGTGCATTAAAACTGCATCTCCCTATTGGAAAGTTTGGGTTGTGCTGTTTCTGGTTTTCCTTCTTTCTTGTGTTTTTTAAAGAAGGCTCTGTCTCTGTGCTGGATGGTTGCACCAGCATTAGGCACAGGCCAAAAAAAGAGCCGTGGTCTGTGGTGATGCTGTCTGGTTTGTCCCAGCCAGTGCTGTGTAAAAGCCATGAGCTGCTCTGGAGGAAGCCATCGGGATACAGGGAAAGGCTGCTGCTGGAAGGGAGGATGTCAGTGCAGTGCTCGGCACCCTGTGGGATGCAGGAGCCTCTTTCCTGCCCCCTGCCCCTCTCCTTGCCTGGGGGGGTGGGCAAATGTTCTCCAATTCCCTGAATGGACAAGGGGGTTCTTGGCGCCCTGGGGCTGCGGGGGGTTGTGGCTTGCAGGCAGATTTCCCTCAGGAAGGCAGAAGGTGGTGGCTGTGGCTGGGAAACGCCTGGATGAAGTGCGTTCAGTTGCTTTTGTGGGCGCGTGGATGGAGCGCACGCCGGGTCCAAGGGGAGCCCTTGGGGTCTTGATGTCAGATGAGCCCAATCCTGGAATACTCCAGCTCATCCAGAGGCACACACGTATTTATGAATGAAAAGGCAGCTCCAAGGTATGACTTAACTAACCCATAAGCTCCTACCGGAGGCCACCCTTCAAAAGAAGGCAATTAACTCCAAGCGAAAACCACCTTATCTCACCATTTGATCTCAGGTTTTACAGCCGCTTTGGTGCTGCTTCTGTCTGCTGTGCTGAGGGAGGTGTCTGTCCCAGCATACTGAGCATGCTGCAGTTTCTACTTTATTTTTCTCCAAAACAAGACTTTAAGCATGTAGGACTGGAAGGGAAACTCGCTGAGAATTTTCTGTGCCAACGTTTTTCCACCTGATCCCCTGGCACGACCTTTGCGGGCACGCTGGAAGGATTTCCCACAGGAGATGACACATTAG